ATGCAAAAAGTAATGAGAAACATTAAAATAGTCTGTAAAATATTTATTGGTAAACATCTTTTGATGATGCAAGAGTTGGATGATGAGTGGTCACTGGATGGTCATTCATTTTCATAGTGATTAATTTTTTATATTTTAATTTATACAGAATGATAGATATAATTTTTTTATTAGTTATTCATAATTTTTAGATTATATTTAAAATATTTATGTTAATTGTTTTTTAAGAAAATACTCGTACGGATTTTTTTCTCTTTTGGTATTAATTTTTTAAGTTAATTTTTTTATTTATTTTCTTTTATAGTATAAATGTGTCATTTCTTATTTGTTTTGCAATTAAATTTAATATTTATTTTATTTTTTAACAACTATGCATATATTTTTACAATTTTAAATATCATTTGATCTATAATTTTATATTAAATTTAAATTTATTATATATATCTTTGCACTTCAGAAATATTAATTGTTGAATAAATGCTAAACATCATTAAATTTTATTATTATAATATATGATCATTTTTAATTGATCGAAAAAATTATCCCAAATAATATAATAATAAAAATTATTAAACCTAACCATAAGAATATATTTTCCAATAAATATATAATAATACAGTTGTCTACCACTAAAAACTTTTGAACTCTTTTTCCACCTATATCAATTTAAAATTCGAATTTCAAAAAAAGTAGTGGGATATAAATAAAAATATTTGCAACCAATTAATGCTGAACTCTTTTATCACATATATCAAGTTTGAATTTCGAAATTTAGAAAAGTAATGAGATATTAATCATAAAAAAATGATTAAATATTTTTAAAAAATGTATATATTATATATATATTTTAAAAAATTACTTGTACGAAATTCTTTTCTCTTTTTGTATTATGTTTTCGAATTGATTTTTTTTTAAAAAAAAAACATTCTGGAATATTCTTTTTTTTAAAGGAGGTTGGTTTCAAGGCTAATTATGATAAATTTAATTAGAAGATAAAAAGTTTCATATGCCTGTATTATATTTTGAAATTGAAGAGCCATCAATTTCTTTACCATTTTATATTCTTAATATGAGCATGCAAAACAGAGCTTTCCAATGCCTAATTATATTGAATTACGCTAAGCACTTATACAATAGGCACAAACAAAATTAAAAAAAGTAGAAGGATGAATCAATAGTGATAATTAAATTAAAAAATTCCTAAAAGAAAAATTGCTTTGTAATTATGTTGCTAGGTTGCATTGATCTAGCATCTAGCATATTTCCAACATTCTTTGAAAAAATAGAAGATGGTTTTATGAGGGTCAAAGTAGTATCATCCTTATCCAACTCATCGCTCCCATCATCACGATAAGCATATCTGTCAAGAGCAAATATAAATTAAAGAACAGCAACAACAATGCGAAACAAATTATGTATGGACAGGAAGAATAGAAGGAAAATCTCATCTTGCTCTTGCAGACATTAAAGATAGAAAATAGAAGAACTTTAAGATAAAAGAGACATTTTTACCGTGTTGAATTTTGAGATGGTGCCCAAAGAGCACAAATAACACACAGGATAGAAAAAGACAGTACTTGCCAAAAGGCCGAGATGATCCACGCATTATGCTATTGGTCGTTGTATACTTTTGTTTCTTTGTTACAGCTTGTAGATCTTTCCAAAGAAAGCTAAAGTCAAATATTTAGTCATTTAAAAGTTAAGACATTTTATTATATCATCTCATTCATTCATGATATTAGATTATGGAGAAAAAAAATACTTATAGAAGAAAAACATATAGAGAAGAATGTCATACCTTCTTCCGAGGAAGTACAAAAGCACATATCTCAGTGATTCCAAATCATTCCGTCAGTTTTGTTCTACAACAAACTGCAAAAAAAGAAAAAGAAATTTATTACATGTTCATGTAATAGAACAACAATTTGAAAAGATGATTATAAAAAAAAAAAAAAGATGAAGAAGATAAACAGACAGATAAGGGAAGAAATATGTACACAAAAGCTAATTATCAAATTTGAGAGGATGAAGAAGATAAATAAAAGAAGAAATATGTGCACATAAGCTAATTATCAAATAAATAAAAAAAGGACAGAATATACTTACTAACAAAAAAGTTTACCACCAAACAAGTTTAACCTTACTTTTTAAAATATTAAACACTACTTTAGTACCGATCGATTTTGAAAATTAGAAGTAATTTAGCAAAAAAGAAAAAAGAAAAAATAGAAGTAACACAGTTTATTCAAGTATACAACTCCATGCAATGAGAGTTGATTAGCCATTCAACCATACGATGGAAATACCGCTTTAGTTTTATAGGCATCTCAGTTTTACGAACTCTTTGTATGTATAGAATTTGATTGTGATTGTGTTGCGATTAAAAATTTTAAACTTTCAATCTATACATAATATAGAAATTTAGTGAGATATAACTTTTGGAAATTGCTACGCAGGTTACTTGACGTATAAGAGATGAGTAAATGGAGATAAATGTGTTTGATTCTCTCTAGTATTATTTTTTGAAGAAATTTAAATCTTTGATTCTGCATCCACTCAAACTTTGAATTTATTCATAAAAACATCTACGGGATTACCGGTAAATAATTTCAACAAAAAATAATAATTTAGAAATTGTTGAGCAGTAAACCAATTTTTTTAGGGGTTTGTATCTATTATGTCACATGATCCAAAAAAATTTCTACACATATAACATTTTGTGGGACCCGCACTTTTTGAAGCAAAAAAAAAAAAACTAAGGCACGCAAAATGAATCTCTATAACATTACAGAATCACTTTTCCTATAACATAAGTCTTATAAAAAAAAATTTCGATATGTCACGTGTCCACATGATTTTTTATTATTTTTTTCGGTAATTTGATTGTTACCCACATGGTAAATTTAATATTATTTCATTATTGAATTTACCAAGAAACAATGGCAGTGGGTAGGTATCCAGCCTAATACCTTATCGGAGAAATTTGTTAGTTGTAACGTTTGTATTATTATACTTGAATATATTAAATATGGGAGGTTCTAGTTACTAATTCTTTTTTTATTATCTTTAACTACTAAATTTTAATCGTTGATTTCTGTCAATCTAACGGTTGTAATTTATTAGATCATACTTATTAATTAATTATAAATTTGCAATAAATTATAATTATTAGATTGACGAAAATCAACAGTTGAGATTTGGTAGTAAGAGATAATAAGAAAAAGAGGTAGTAAGTATAAACTCTTCCTATTAAATATATATTTTATAGTATTATTTGACAATTATAATATATCTTAATAAATTTTAACAAAATTATTTTAAAATATAATTTCTTCTAAAATGAGTTTTTTCATATCGTTGGATTCATTTATTTTGAAATATTAATTTATTTTAATCTAAAATAATATAAGTTAAATAAAATTTTAAAGAAAAATTTTAATACATAAATTCATCAAATTATATAAATTTAATTTTATAAAAATATATCAAATGGTAAAGAAAAATCCAGTTTTAAAAATCGTATTTTAAATAATTTTATTAGAATTTATATTTTTATAATTTATTAAAATATCTTATAACATAAAAGATCAAATTATTTCTTACACGTACATAATAAAAATATGTGATTTATATAAAAACGTATCCACCTCACAAAATTGAGAATTGAAAAAGCTTGAGGTGAATTGGAGTGTAGTGATGGTCATGGATGTTGACGTCATTGACGGAATTGTCTTACTCTTTGTTGGCTTGACAAGGAGGCTCCACTTCCAACTCCATCGTCCACTTAATAAAATGTGTGTGAGAGACTCAAATATCATATCACATACCTATTATTTTTTCTCTTTATTTTTGCTTACCACCGTGAAATAATAAATGTAGTTGAGATTTTAATCTAATGGTGTTAAAAAAATAATAAATAAAATAACTTATCTCATTATATAATTAAATATTGGGTTCACTTTTTCTACAGTAAGCCTAATACGACGTCGTTTTGGGACAGAAATAATGTTGTTTTTGTAATTTAAATTTATTTCAGAGTTATTATAGTATTTATCATTATAATTATGGGTTCGCTTTTTCTGCAGTTACTGTAGATAAGTTATCTGCAGTAAACCCAATACGACGTCGTTTTGGGATGGAAATAATGGTATTTTTGTAATTTTAATTTATTTCAGGGTTATTATAGTCTTTATATTTATAATTGTTTAAGATTTTAATACCAAAACGACGTCGTTTTGGGAATAAATGCAGATAACTTATCTGCATTAACTGCAGAAACATTTTTTCCTATAAGGGTTCGCTTTTTCTGCAGTTACTGTAGATAAGTTATCTGCAGTAAACCCAATACGACGTCGTTTTGGGATGGAAATAATGGTATTTTTGTAATTTTAATTTATTTCAGGGTTATTATAGTCTTTATATTTATAATTTTTTAAGATTTTAATACCAAAACGACGTCGTTTTGGGAATAAATGCAGATAACTTATCTGCATTAACTGCAGAAACATTTTTTCCTATAAGGGTTCGCTTTTTCTGCAGTTACTGTAGATAAGTTATCTGCAGTAAACCCAATACGACGTCGTTTTGGGATGGAAATAATGGTATTTTTGTAATTTTAATTTATTTCAGGGTTATTATAGTCTTCATATTTATAATTTTTTAAGATTTTAATACCAAAACGACGTCGTTTTGGGAATAAATGCAGATAACTTATCTGCATTAACTGCAGAAACATTTTTTCCTATAAGCGTTCGCTTTTTCTGCAGTTACTGTAGATAAGTTATCTGCAGTAAACCCAATACGACGTCGTTTTGGGATGGAAATAATGGTATTTTTGTAATTATTTAGTTTTTCAATCCCAAAACGAGTCATCTCGAGATTAAATGCATATAATTTATCTACAGTAATTGCAAAAATATATATTATTGAGTTAAATATTATATTTATATGTAGTGGAGACGTGGAGGTGTATATTCTTTCTTTCCCCTTTGCCCATAATAATAACATTACAAGTTACAACAACTCAAGTGAGAGTCAGAGTCATAAGAAGATGGGTTGGGCAATAGCTCTACATGGCGGCGCCGGCGACATCCCACTTTCACTACCACCGGAACGCCGCCAACCCCGCGAGGATGCCCTCCGTCACTGCCTTCAAATCGGCGTCGAAGCTCTTAAAGCCAAAATGCCTCCTTTGGACGTCGTTGAGCTTGTTGTAAGTACACCTTCCTTTTACTACCTCTCTCTGTTTCAATGGATGATTGTGAATTTTGCAGTTTCTATTTATCATGCTTATGGTGGTTATGAGTGTATATAATAGGTTCGTGAGTTAGAGAACATTCCGCAGTTCAATGCGGGCAGGGGATCGGTTCTGACCTCCAAAGGCAGTGTTGAAATGGAAGCTTCTATAATGGATGGTAACACAATGAAATGTGGAGCTGTTTCTGGTCTTACTACTGTTGTCAATCCCATTTCTTTGGCTCGTCTCGTAATGGAAAACACCCCACACATATATCTTGCTTTTCATGGAGCAGAGGACTTTGCTAGAGAACAAGTCAGTCAGTTAGTTCTTCTTCTTTTTTTATGATTCCTTTAACTGTAATTATATGATCCTAAACTTTTACCTCTGGAGTACTGTGGCTTCTTACCTTTCTTTGAAAATGAAACCCCTCCACAATAGCGGGTAAAAAACTGGTGGTGCTGTGTGTGGGAATTGGATCCCCCCCTGATTTTTTTCTCTCTCCCTTACATACAGAATCACTTAAACAGTGATAATTTAATTATGATAAAATAACAAAACATTATTATTCATAGTAATGTTTTAAACTGTGTTATTGTACTTGTACCTTTTGGCTCATCTTCAGTTATGACGGGCAAAATGGGCACTCCGCCATCAACCAGCCAAAAAATGACTCAGCCCGCTCTGCCCCGCTTTTGAAAGTGGGCGGAAAAACTCAGTCCGCCCTGCCCCGTTTGGCGGGTTGGGTGGATTGGCCCGCTCGAGCCTATTTTACACTGACCCGCCTCAGCCCATCTGTGCCCGCTATCAACCCGCCAAAAAATGAACCTGCCCCACTTTTGAGATGGATTGAAAAACTCAGCCCGTCCCGCCCCGTTTGGCGGGTTGGCCCGCCGAGTCGGCAAAACAACCCGCCCAGTCGAGCCCGTTCTGTCGGCTCTAATGATCATGCATCCATCCTTATTTTTCAGGGAGTTGAGACTGTAGATTCAAGCCATTTTATTACTGCGGAAAATATTGAAAGACTAAAGCAGGCAAAAGAAGCCAATAGGGTCCAGGTAATTTTGCCTAGTTCTCTTTCTCTGTGTGTGTGTGTGGCTTAGGATGCTGATTTTCGGCTTAAGAGTAATATATTTATTTATGTTACATCAATCACCTGAAATTATTTTTTTCCGTTCCTATGATGTTGATGACTTTTGTTCTTGTCAAATATATAGATTGATTATACCCAACCCATCCAAAATGATACTAAGAAGGAAACACCACTTGCTAATGGGGATAGTCAAATTGGAACTGTTGGGTGTGTGGCTGTTGATAGTCTTGGGAATCTAGCTTCTGCAACATCTACTGGTGGATTAGTGAACAAAATGGTTGGTCGAATTGGTGACACACCTGTCATAGGTGCTGGGACATATGCCAATGAACTTTGTGCGGTTTCTGCAACAGGCAAAGGTGAAGCAATAATACGTGGGACAGTAGCAAGAGATGTGGCTGCCCTGATGGAGTTCAAAGGTCTTTCTCTCAAGGAAGCTGCTACTTGTGTTGTTCAAGAGCGCACACCAAAAGGCACTGTTGGTTTGGTTGCTGTGTCTGCTGCAGGAGAAGTTGCAATGCCTTTTAATACAACAGGCATGTTCCGAGCATGTGCCACTGAAGATGGGTATTCAGAGATTGCAATTTGGCCTGCTGCCTAAATTTAGAGTTTTATTAGAGGCTTTTCTGATTTCCAAGCTTAATGCATTCTGACATTTGTTGGTATTTCATGCATGGTTATATCATAAGGAAATCTATCTGCTTTTCAAGTTACAAATTGTCGTTTGGTTCCAGATTATAATCTTCATGAGTACCTCGTTATCCATGACCCTGCATATTCTTCTTTATAGTTTGTCCTACATTTTGAATGCCACACCTTCTACTTATTATCAGGGGTTTTATAACGCTCCCCTTGACAAATGCTCCGTAATTGTTGAAGAGAAAACCAATATTCATTTCATGGATGTCCAATAAAATGAAGTTCTATTTCAAATTACTGTAACCTGTGCTCTTGACCTCTGATAAACTATAACTTTTAATTAGTGTGTAACTTTTTTTAGTGAATCAGACCAAACGTCAAAAAATTAATCTCACTTCAGATCCCACCACATGGACTTTGCCACTGCAAAATATCAGCCCACTACTAACACTTACTATTTGTTGGAATGGAAGATAACTGCATATTTTTTAGGCAAGGGAAGGTTGAAGACTCTTAGTTTATCCCGGATGAGGTGATCAAGCACCTTGACCAAATCACAGCAAAAACTGGCTGCTTCTCATTAGCTACTGGTGTCACGGCCTATCCTTACAGTACATGCATATGTTTATAATAATAACATACGTCATTTATTTCCATTTCTTTTTTAAGGTAAGTGGTAGGTGTGAAAGTAGGCTGGGCTGGGCCAAGCTTTGCCCTGAAAAGTCCAAGTCTATGTCAAAAAATTTCAATTTTGTCTAGCCCAAGCCTAGTACGAATCTAACTGTTAGTCTGACTTAGCCCGTTTATAAAAAAACAAATGGTCTGGCTTAGCCCGTTAGCGTATTAATTTTTAACTTCTAAGCAGAACCATGAATCAACTTTACAAAATACTCAAATTCTGTTGCTAAATCAAAAATCATAATTTCAACATCCAAACAGAATCATGAATCACAACAAAACTCATACAATCTGTATTTAAGTCAATTTTAAAAGCAAAATGCTCAAACTAAATAACATATATTTCATCAGATCCAATAAACAAATCCATACTATGTAAATTAAAATAACTATGAGAATCCAACAAACGCATCATGATGCTTGTAGTAAGTATAACATCTCCTAAAAACCTTTTAATATATTCATATACATAATCTAACATGCTGAGATGTTAGTTCCTCCTATATAAGAAATAAAGTCAGATTTTTATTAAAATATAATTGAATATAATTAAGTTATAAATAATTGCAATTGATTAAATTTATATCTTTTGTTTTTTTCTTCAAGTCATACTTATTCTATTCTATTTTATTTAAAATAAATAGTACAATATAGGTCGGCCTGTAGGCTTATAGGCCAGGCCTTGTGAAAGTGAGCCTACGGCCCTTTTATTAAATAAGTTTTTTCAAGACCCAAACCCGACCTATTTTACGAAATATACTAAGTCAGGTCTGACCTGACGTAGGCTAAGCCGTAAGCCGACTCGGCCCAGTGTTTCACCCCAGTCAGTGGTATGTGCCAATACCTCTAATTAAAAAAAAAAAAAAAAAAAAAGTAGGAGAAAAACTTATGTGACATTGATTTCAATTTATCCAACCACCCATTACCTTAATTCGGAATGATGACATAGAATCAAATTAATTTGAATATGTTAGATATTGCTTAATAACAGATGAAGTTGTAAAAAGACCACTTTTGTCTAAAATTCCTAGCCACGCAAACTTCAAATGAGTGACAAAACTACTCCCATTCGTGGATGATAGATTGCCTTATTTGAAAAAAAGAACAATATGCCATGTTGCTACCTTTAAGGGAAGGAACTCTCTCATTTTGTCTACTTAATCATGTACCACAGTAACTAAGAACAAAAAGTGGCACTTGGAGTTAGCTTAAAGGACAAAAGACTAGGATAAAATTAGTAGTAAACGTTTTCAATTCAATCTTATGAAAAAAATCCAAGAGATATGCAAAATAAAACAATTGTTCTTTTAGTAGAAATGCAAATACAATTTGCAAAAATGTAGACTATGTATATATATGGAAATGATCTTTTCACTCTGATATAAGAATAATAAATTTACTCGAGTAAAAGAATAATAAGTTTTACTCATACCTGGTTGAAAACCGAATATTGAAGTGCTAACCTGTGCTGTTGCTGTAATAATTTTCTTTCTCCAACTTTAGGTTTGTTCCTCAATCCTTGTCTACTTTTGTTCCACCAGTTGCCTTAAAGCAACACTGATATCAGATTCACTTTTTAGGTTTTTCTTTAACATATTATGCCAAGTCCATGAAGGATTACCATACCCAATAAAATACTGTTGGCTTAGCAAATAAACATCCGTTCAACTGGCATCAGCAAATTTCTATAAGATTTCATGAACGTATAACCAGACAGAAGGGAAAAAAAAATTGTTTCTATTCCATTACATTGCTATTGAAAGAGCTGATAAATTATTACAAGAATTACTAAAGAACAATCATTCTACTACTTGCAGAAGGGGAAAAGATGGCCAATAGCCAAAAATGGATTCTCCCACATCTCTTCAGCTAACGCATATGAACTTTATAGTGTGTAAGAAATCATTCTGTTCTCTTTCAAGACTGATTCAAAAGAAAAGTAAGCAGAAGAAAAGAGAAGGGATGGGGGGGAAAAGACAAAATTCCTAGCAAAGTCAAAAAATTTCTACTTCTGACTTTACAGTAAGGCAACCACAGATTAAGAGTTTAAAATAATCAGAGATTGCATAATCCATCAGCAATCGAGAAGTAGTGCATTTCAACTTGTGGCACAATGTTGAAGATGAGGGTGACTTTGATTTACGTACTTGTCCCATAGTGGCTTATACCTGCCTATAGCTAGCTTCAGCCACGGCTTCATGTTCCCGTTGAAGTGAATAACTGCTGCACTTTCAATCAGGCGGTTGTCAATATTTAGGTCATAACCCAAACCTAAAACATGCCATCTTCTGTCAAGTGGCTCTGTCAAACCATAAAAGCATAGAAGAGCAGGAGGAAGTGTCCCCAGCTTCCAGAGTGTCCCATCAGCATTCTGCTCCTGCCAATAGTGATATCTAGCGGTCACATTTGCCTTCCTCCATGCAACCAAGTCGAAAATGTTCATACCAAATGCCCATGCACATGCCTGAGGATCAAACTTAGAGCTTATGATTGAACTTGAGAAGTTGAGATACTTGTAGTACCGATGAAATGCTTCAAGACAAGTTTCAACTGCACCATTCACATTCCCATGCAAATCCAGTGAGAAAAGAGGGGTCAGGTCCTTCTGGACAACAAGATCATCATCCAGGAAAACAACCTTCTCAAGTTGTGGATAAATCTCAGGGATGTAAAACCGAAGATGATTCAATAAAGACAAATACTTGGGATTCCGCATTTTTGGTTCAACATTTACATCTTGATATGCACCAAAATAGAAGTTTTGTAATTCAGGACTGAGGAGCTGCTTGACAATTGGAGAATAAGATGCATTCAACCAATGAAACTCCTCAATATTCTGTACCTCTATGGTGGCCCCTTTAAAATCATTCCTGAGGAACCATGCTTGCATTGCTCCATAATTGACTGCATTAGTGACAATGTGAAAGATCAACTGCTTTGGATGATCAGCATTGGAAACGGTTGAGTTAACAACTACAGATGTTGACAGTACATTATCTGAAAATATGCAGAAATGATAAAGATTGTTGTCCATGAGCCGTGGGGAGTTTTTTCTCTCATCTGAGAGTTCTTGCAGGGATGACATTTTTAGCCAATCAGACACGAGTTTCACATTTAGGCAATGAAGACTCTTGGGTAGTGCTTCTGCTGCTATTTGGCCAAACACAGCGCTTTGAACTGTTGCAGCATTGGCACGCTCTTCAAGGGCTTGAATATGTGATTTCATAGTCACTATTGTGGTTGCAATGTCATAATGGATATCTTGTGCTTTAAAAATTAGAGAAGAAAGGCTTTTAATAATTGGCTCTGCATCCTCCAGTGTCACAGGCTCCCCAGTCATGGCAGCTTTTGAAAGCAAAAGCTGGCAACCTCTAATCTTTGAGCTAAGCCGCCAGGCAAGGTGAAGATTATTGTGTTCCTTGGCAATAACCACATAAGCCTTGGCCAGAATCATTTGTTGCGCTAACTGCCGTGAAAATGATGTTACACTTAAAATTTCTTCAGTAAAATTCAAACTCTCCTTAGCAAAATGTTCAACTCTTGCATTTCTCTCCTGCAAAGGAAATTCACTAGCTCCATAAGTACCCAAAAGGTGGGAATAAGGGACAACTTTTAACATCAAATAATGATATCAACTAAAGAGTAACAACAATATAACCATCACAACAGTGTGAACGATTGTAGCATTAATAACTACAATTATATCACTTTTAGGGGTGTATGGAAATGGATAAGTTGTCCGAGGTCTCTGAGGTCCCTGTCTTTCATTTCAATACCCATTTGGGAGATTTCGTACATGCATCAGTAACCTTCAAGACCCATTCTTTTACACTCCAAGGATTATCAAGGCATACTTAACCATGTTTACTACTTCATATTGACGACCAATCGCTCAACTTTTGGTTTTGATATCATCCAGAACCTTGAGTGTTCAATTCAATTTTTTGTATCATTTATGCATACAGAAGCAAATTTTTATAATTAGCACCATATTCATAAAGAAACTTCCAGAAAAAGCTTGTCATGGTTTTAGCTATTTTTCTGAATGTTGGACGACTGAAAGAAATTAACAGAAACACCATAATAATGAATTAGATATAATAACAAACACAATAACTTTATGGTTGCTACAGAATGATGAAAGGAAGGTCATCTTTGCGATGTATTCAGATTTTTGGAAACAGGTCATATGAACAGGATAAGTTGGAAAGTAGATGTAGAAAGGAGAAGCATATTGAAGGAACATGTGTTATTTAGGAATTATTATTTTATTATTAGAATTTTAGAATTTCCTCTTATTGAAGAGATCTTTCATAATTTGTAGGAATTTAATATTTAATTAAGATATATCTAAGATTTTATATTTGATTAGGATTATGGTTTATCCAAGATTTTATTACTTTTGGGTTACAAATACTCTTCAGATGCTATATGTTATTCAGACTTTTGCATAATTAATTATTGATATTCGGTTTCCTTCAAAGAGTATCTGAAACTTAAGTTGGAGGAACACCCTAGACTTAGCAGTCAGGGGAATACCCTGCCAAGAGGAATACTATTGGCTATAGAAATACGTCATAGGCTCTGGTCACATAAGAAAAAATGGCTGGATCCTGCATGGGGTTGACAAAAGTATAACAATTCTGAAGATTGGGTGGTACATAAGTTAACAGTCTCAAGGGGAATGCTGTTCAAGTGAACACTGAACAGTTTCCAAACCTAATAATTAGTGACCTTTTCCCATTCTAGAAATAAATCACAAAAAGTAATCAAAAAAATTCTGTTCTTATCCTTGTCATCAACCTCTTTGTTGAAAACTAGTATCTTCCTTGGCTTAACTACACGCATTTTTCTTTACCATACCACTCATTTTCAATAGGACTCAAACATATTCCAATGCACTCAAAATACAAATGAAAATTTGTTTTAGCATGCTAAATAAAAGCCATTTGAAACAGAAGTAAGCAAATTCAGACCAAATGAATAGGGTCCTAGAGATTTTTCCCCCCTATAGCTCATCTAGCCATAGATGTTACTACTGTGACCAAAGGATATTGCTCCTCAAAAATGGTAAAGGTTGATGCTGATGGTGTGGATCCAGCCGACAACCCAAAACACCATTAAAATTAGGGATTAATCAGGTAACAAGTCTTCTTCTTTCTGTTTTAATCAGTAACACATCTTATTCCCAGAGTAAATGCAAGATATCTCTCACTAAATGCAAGATATACTCAGGTCAAGCTTGAAATCATATCTAAAAGTATGAAATCAACAATTTCCAACATGATTGACTTCAAAAACTTCAGCTATGACAAGTAATAACTCTCTGAAATTGGTAGAGTATCAGGTAAAAGAATGTTATAGCAACTAAGGTACAAAAATGTTTAATATGGAGCCAATTAGGCAGTCCATAAAAATGTTCCATTCTTGCCCCAGTACTGAACCAGGTATATATTTTGAAAAGATCTAAGGCGTAATCCTCCAAGAAATTACAAAAAAAAGGACAAGAAAACATCTGATACTGAATTAGAGACGACTAAATCTGGAACAACTATACCATCAAATTCTAAGCCCAGGAAAGCTCACAAAACGAGAACACTAGGATCTCCTCATGAAAAAAAAAGGTTTACATTTACAGTCCATAGAAGCCTATTAATATGTATTGAAGAAAAGCAATAAAAAAACAAGAAGAAACACGACAATCAGTTTTCAGTGGCACGGATACTAAACTTCTGCTTGTGAAACAAGAAAGGAGACAGAGTATTGAGACTCCAGATTACACTTGATCCACATCGAATTGAACGGACTTTAACCTCAACTATATCTTTTAAAATAAAATAATATAAAAAGTTAAAAATAAGAGTTGTAGAGTTGCCAATTCAATTGTTTCAGACCATTTGAATAAATATTAATTGGTTTCTTCTGAATCACAATGTTGACACAAACATAGGTTCCTCTCATCCATCAATTTGGCAATAGAAAAAGCAAAGATAGGCTAATGATCAGAAGTTGATAGAGTTAACACACGCAAAAAACATTAAGACGAATTGATTCATAGAAGTGAGCATAGATGAATTCAATTAGAAAACTTGAGACGCAAAAGGAGAACCCATGAAAGCCATAAACAACCATCACCATGCTCTAAGATCAATAGGGCATCTCCAAAAACAGTCACTTTATAAAACGAATAACTTAATAATAAAAAATGAAGCGAAGAGAGAGAGAGAGAGAGATTGGTGAATTGTTGTTACCAGCAAAGGATATTGAACCCGATCTTGGTGGTGATTGTGTTGGAAAACAAACAAAACCAATCCGAGAAGAGAGGAGAAGCCAAGTAGCACCCAGATCCAATAAGAAAACCTCCGTCGAACCGGGCGCCGATACTCGGCAGCCCGCCGTCGCATCTTTCACCGTTTCCGGTCCACAATTCACCAGGGAGTCGAGAATTCAGACCCACCCATGTTTTTGAATTGATCAGAAACCCATCAAAAAGGGCTCTTTTTTCCAATGTTCAGTCTACACAATCCACACACCTCTCCGAGGTGGACAGCCTATGCAACATGCGCTTGCATTCGATTCGAATTGGAATTGGAAGGACCAACAATGAGTGACCTATCTGTGTATTTAGTGACAGTAAATTCGACTACAGAATAAGACCGACAAAATTATTTATTTAATTATTAAATTACAAATTCATAAAAAAAAAAAAAAAAAGGAGAGAGAGAGAGAGAGATGAGCAAAGGCTTGGTTTGGTCAGTGAGAAAGCTTACGAGGGCACCATTACAATTTACAAATGTAAATGTTAGGTGTGGGTTTACAAATAAAAATAAAGAATTAAAATACAAAACACAAAAAAATGGAAATGCCGGCGGCACATGATCGCATGTGATGATGATGTGTGATGTTAATCGTAACGTAAACTATGCAGTTTTTTAATTATTTATTTTTGATATAATTCGAAAAGTATTTTCATTCAATATCTTCTGATCACTTTGTTTTACAGCTCATTGGAACAGATGATGCATTGAAGACAGAGGCAGGATTTAAACTCTTGACCCAAGCAAAACCTTTAAAAGCTTACTTGGGGGTTAGTTTTTTAATTTTTAATGTCTTAATTATGGATCTTGTTTCTCATACTATATTGTTAATAATACTGATTTCATTGCAAATTTTCATTTATCTTAACTATGAATTTTTCTTTCTTTCTTTTCTTTTGGGATATTATATGGGTTTTTTTTATCATTGTGCCCTTATTATATTAAAAATTACCACTATACCCCGTATCAAAACATATTACTCATATGCTCTTGTTTGACTGTTATTGAGTATGTATTCTTTGCAAAACAGTGTATACTCAAGTGTGTTGCCGACATTACATGACATTACACAATCGAGTGTTATGCTTCAGGCATGAATTTCTTGAAGACAAAAGACAATACATGACATTACCAACATTGTTTTCTGTTTCTAGGGTTCATCAATGGTGGCATCTCCTTGGCAACGGGAAGGGAATGATGGACTCTTGTCCTTATCAATCTCCACAACTTACTCGCTCATCTAGCCAACATCTTCTCTAATACATATACGCCCTTTAGAGAGAGGAGCACCATCATGTTTGTTTTTTGTATAAATCATTTTTATACTTTTGATTTCTCAGTTGTTTCCCATTGATTTTATTTTCTTTTTGTTTTTGTTGGGTTTTTTTGAGATCTATACTTTAGTTGCAACACTAATTTTAGTTAAAAACTTTTTTGTCTATATCAGATTTTGTGTAATTTTCCATTAATTTTTTTATGCTTTAGTTAAAAAAAAAAACAGAAGTCTCCTCAGCGAAGCTTGTCTTGCCTAATGGGTTTCTCCACAATTAAAGGGCATAAAGGCTGACCTGTCCCGATTCCATCTTTTTTAAGCTATGCATACTTTTGGTCCAATTTGTTAGATTGGGCCTGACACATCTGAAAAAGTTAAATCATTACGCTGCTGGGCTATGAAAGCTATAGTGGCCCAACCGAATCCGTTGCTGATCTAACAAACTTAGTTATTCAATTTTTCTCACATTCTGTTATTCAGTTACAACTTACAATCACATGCCCAATGTTATCTGGGCTCAGTCTATATATTGGGACTTAGCCCATTCAGATCATATATACAATTCATATTGTATTCAGCAGTTGATAGAAGAGATTAAGATCTCATTCTCTCTTTCGTTACTTCATTCAGATCATATATACAATTCATATTTATCAGGGTACAACCTTGTTTCTGATACGTCTCCGGAATTTTTATTTATTTTAGTAAGTGTACTATTTCGCTGAAGTAACTGCTCAGTACCAAATTGTGTTACCTACTAAGACAAAATCTTTTTTTACCCAAATACTACGCAATCACACACTATGTCATTCCTAGCATTCATGCTCAACATCAGAGAGTTCATTTGCATTAAATTAAGACTGTTTCATATTTTGGAAAATACTGTGCTGGATTAGTAGCGCAATATTTCACTGTGGCATGACACGATTTATGCGGTATATTTACTGGAACAATGCCCTGCATATGACAGCTTTTCTCCCGATCAGAAATTGTATAAAATCTTAAACATTTAATATGTTTTAAGATCAAAAACCCAAAATTACCAATACTTAGTACTCTATTGTACATTGTTTGAGTCACTTCCCTATTGGTTTTGATTAAGAACAAAGAGTAAAGGATAATAAAAAGCAATTGATTCATCTCTTGTTTCACCATGGTGTAGGTGTACAATGATTTTCACGAGCATCAAGTTAATTTCACCCGCACCTTGACGCATTCAAGTTGGGGACTCACCAGAGCAAAGTATCATTATTTTAGGGAGTACAAAGAACAAGTATCATTTTATTAATAGTGCTATTAAGCCAAAAGCCAAAACTTTTTATGGCGTTTGGTAGTAATCAAATACCCTCCAATTTTCTTATTCTTCCTCCTCACTGCAATGGTCATGCAAGGCGAGTTCTGAATACAATATTCAACAACACCAGCATTGGTTCTCTTTCGTGACCACCTTCTCATTAAGCGCCACAATATGGATCGCTTTTTTTGTCCCACAACCAACAGTGACACCATCTGTTGCTTTGCCTCTTGCACTATAGCAGCACCCTTATTATCCTCTCCTTCAAGCATTACTACATTCACTAGCACCTGAAACCCACAAACCCAACATGTTACCTCGTGTCATAAACATATAAAAATGTCCAATTCACGAAAAAAAAAATTCTTTGAAACTCACCCCTGGTCTCTTCTTTTCGCACATGCTTTTCATATCGAAGAGAAGTTGATAAGCCTTCAGATTAAACTTCCCATCAGACTCTGCACCTGGGAATAGAATAAAATTGAACCCTTTTTTTTATCCTTCTTTGTCTAATTCAGAATACAGAACAAGAGAAATAGTAGAATCATTTCTCACCTTTTCTGGTGGACCTGGCTACATGAACAAGAACAACAGTGTCCTGGCTCTGAACAGTGTGTGAGAGTGCCCATTCAAGAGCCCCTTTAGATTCAAAGCTAGAATCCACAACCACCATGATCTTATTGCCAGTTTCAGCCCCTTTTTCAGCATCTTCTCTGCCATAGTCATAGCTTCCATTGCTTGAAAACTCAGTTCTATTTTCATATTTGACAGAAAATGAAGAAGAGGCTCGAACACGAGGCTTGGCATGACCAATGCACAAATTGTGCAACTTGATGCGTGGCCTTCCCATGCCTTGTTAGTTCTAAAGGTCATCAACTGTGTCTATATCATTATATATACATCGTGGAACACAATTGAATTGAATAGGCCAGCTTCTTTGTCACGTCCTTGACTTTGTTGAACTTCTATTTTTTATTTTTATGATCCACTGTTTCAATTTCAACTGTCAATTAATGATTTCTTTGTTTGTTTTTGTACAATTTCTTATTTGTGGGGCTAATCTTGGACGTGCGAACCATCAAGATTTTGGATGATGCACAAGAGTTGACAATTTGACACAAATTCTTTAATGGTTTCCACACGCATGGAAGAATAATTCTCAAGACGTTAGCCACAAGTAGAAAAATAAATAAATTAAACTTGTAAGCGCTAATCATTAAAGCAAATGACTTTTAAATTTGACTAGTACTAATGGAGATCACGTTCAATTACAAAATTTAAGAGATTGAAACATGGGTACGTGTCATGTAATCTCAAGGAATCCAATTATTCCTTTATCACAAAAGTCACAAATGTCATATTATTGGATATGAAAAAGGAGTAAGGAAATGGTCAGTTAGAGAAATGTAAGTGCCTCTCTACTTGTTTTGGATTGGGAGATTCTAATGTAATTGCCACCACGCCATTGTGGTGAAAGTTCGAACTTTGAAATTGAACAATTTCTTTGAGTACAAGTGTTTGTTGGTAACTACTTTGATTTGTGTGGCTCAACATTTAAAAAATGGGGTGATTATATTTACGGGGAAGATATACTTACCACCAAAAAAGTTTACAACCTTTACAATTAACCTAATCACCACTAATTTCTGTCAATCTAACGGTTATAATTTATTGAAAATTATTGGGTCGCATTTATTAATTAATTATTAATTCCCAATAAATTATAATCGTTAGATTGACGAAAATCAATGGTGATTAGATTGGTTGTAAATGTGGTAAACTTTTTTGGTGGTAAATACATCATGCCCCTATATTTATTACTATTTTAATCTTATTACTTTACTGCTTACTGTTGGATTAATTTGAAATCAAGGTTAAAAAATAGAAAAAATTAATTGTTGTTGATTTTAAATTGATCCAATAATAACCAATCGTAAGAATAATAAGACTAAAATGGTTGTAAGTAAAAATATTTTAAAATAGAATTAGAAAGAAACACTTCTTTGCTTTGAATACAAGCGTAATGGGGATTTTGATAGCAAATCCATAAATTATAATATGCTTTGCTTTAATTACAAATCATCATCTCTTTGTGACGGTGACCCATACCGCGACCCTCTTTTTGACTTGCCTGCAAATATTCTACCTTAATTACGTGAATCTTTTTCCAGCCTGTGGCCGCTAAAATGTACATTCCTTTCTCAAGGGGAGGTGTAAGGTGTACAACAAAATTTATAAAAATGTTATTTGCAGAAAATTAGAGAAATAAAAAATCCATAAACATGCATAAAATAATTAAAATAAAGTGTATGCAGAGACTTGGGTTATTTTACGTATGTAGATGTGTATCGAAAGTATACAGTCACTATATGCTCGTAACTGTTGCAAATTCTGCCAACGCAGGTCATGCGCCGTGGTTCACACATCATAATCAAAGCCAGACTATTCCAGTCACCGTATAGTGACCGCCAATTATGAACCATTCCCGTAAATCAAATGCCTAATTGACTGAGGTTGGTATTTGGTAGCAGTGTTAATTAGCAAGAATGAAAGGCAGTACTTTAAAATCTGGATCGGACGAGCTGGGTCGATTCGGGTTTTGGTGACATGTTACTACTCACGACAAGTGTACCGATCGTACAAGTAATATATGATTAAGTAAGAGATTGTTCCCACGAGGATTACGGTTCAAGCACTAATTCACTATCGCAAACTTAGTTGGACAATCGAAAGTGTATTTGGAAACAGGATTTGAATTGCAAAATTAAAATATTAAATATTAAGCTAATTACTTGCAAGAATTAAAGACAAGAAATTAAAGATGTGATTTAACTAATAAAATAAAAACGTAGCTAGGGGTTCGATTTCCTTTAATCTCCTTATTATGATTCGAAGTCCTTCTTTACGTTAACCGTCCTTAATATCAATCTAACCAATTCTTTCGCGTGTTATTAGAGCTCAATCCCTTGTTACCCTAAAACCTTTACAAACTTAAAAGAACCCTAGTTTCCCGGTTATTCCCCAAGAATGCAAGCATTAAGTTCAAGAATCTTAAGGTTACGCAAATTCTATGTCTATCCCTAGAATCATAGCGTTTACGATGAAGTTATCAGATATGGATCACACACCAACATCCCTATTGTCATGCATTTACCGATGATCATTATATAAGATTCAAGCCTATATAAAGCATTAAAAACAGATAACTTCATTCATGATAAAAAGGAAAATTAACGTACGAATTATTCAAAGCATAATAAATCGACAAAAATCCATCTAACCCTGACTACTTAAAGAACTAGCCGGACATGGCAAAATCAAGAACAAAAAAAAAATAGAAAAGCTCCCCCAAACTCCATAGGTGATTGGTGGATCTTCAAAATCTCCAGTGAACACTTGACGTTGATCTGTCTCCGCCGCTCACGAACATGAATCTGATGTTTCTCCGCGTTCCCTCCGCCTCCAAGCACCCAAGAGTTGTTTAGCAATCTAAAAGTTATTCTTCTGGTTCCCAATGGTGTTTTTTTATAGGTCAAGAGTTCGTATCTTGATGAAACACCTTGAATGGGCCTAAGTTGGGTTTCCGGGGCGCTTAAGCTTGCTTCATCGCGCTTAAGCCCCCTTGAACGGTGATTGCAGAATTCGCGTTGTGCGCTTAAGCGCGCTGTAGGGCGCTTAAGCGCGATCTTCCAGTCAGAACGCGGAGACGGCTAATCATACTTAGTGAATAGCAGACAAGAAACTGATCAATAATGAGATATCCAAGTATTCAGACTTTATAAAAGTCAATGACACATCAATTTCAAGCAAACAATCATAATTCATCAGTCATAAAATCATAACATGCGTTCTCAAAAGAAAGAGTAGTTTAATTCAGATCCACAACACCCTCTCACTAGATTTTTATTTATTCATTCACACTCAGTGTTTAAGGGCATGTGTTTCACTCTTACTTTACTGAATTAACACTACCATAAGCTTGTTTATATTCTCACTCTCCACAGTCTTACTAGTATACAAAGTCAATCCAGAGGTCTTTGTTAAGGTTGTAACGTGGCTTTAGGGAAAAGGAAAGGAATCATCTGGGTAAGTGGCTTAAGAACTGATCAAAATTCAACTTCAAAGAGGAACTAGTTTAACTGTTCAACAAATAGTAAACAGATTTCTCTTATTTTTCTTCTCTTTTCTTCTTCCACTTATTCATATAATATGAGTCTTTTATTTCTTTTCCTTTTTCCTTTTGTTTTTCTTTTTCTGTTTTTGTACAGATACACATTTCAACCTTTTTCTTTGCTTTTCTTTTCCACCACTTTTTGGCTTTTTCCTCTTTTCACCCTTTTCTCCCATACACTTAGAGTTTGATTTTCTCTTTTTGTTTCAATCATATCTAGTCCCTCATTTAAATTTGAAATTTAATCAGTTCAGGTGAGGATGTGTATAAAATGGCTATTCACAATAAGTTGTCAATGAATAAATAGGCCTAGGCTCAAAGGGGCTTCAACTAAGGATGAACATCAGGGTGGCTATTTGGCTATCTAGCTTTTAGAAAGAACTGCCTCTATCATTTCAACAATTGTATACTACAGACCATTTCAAAGAGAAACAAAACAAGTTCTAGAGTGATTCAACAGTAAAGTTCACACCAAAAAAAAAATTCTGTTTAGGCTCAAAAGCTTATGGCTAAGGATGTGAGACTTATTTTTCCACTCTCTCTTTGATTACTCTAGTTATTCTTCTCTTATTCCAGTGAACTATGAAGCATGCTTGATTGACGCTCATTTATGTACGAAAATAAAATTTATTTACATCATTATACTCTTGATATCAACTATCAACCAATTTCATGTAATTATTCATCATGCATCCATATCAAGCACAATGGAAAATCTCTTAAGATCCACTAATTATTTATTGACTAAGATGGAAGGGGTCTTAAAAATAATTTAAAAAAAAACTTAAATATTAAACTAACTAATATATATGAAGACCTTAAAATAAACTAATACTAAATCAAAATAATATATTTAAAATCATATAATATGAAAATAATATTGAGAAACTCCCCTGAAAAACTGCATTTGTAATTTGGATATTTCTGTGTACTCCGTGTAATCAAGAGTTTCTTCTTTCGACCATGTGAAGTTTATGGTCTGATGAATTGCATAGTACCCATCCCCAGATTTAAATCTTGCTGTCCTCAGCAATAAACTTAAATCTAAAAGAATCCTAAGCAAGAAATCAGAAAAATTTGATACTGTACACTGCACACATGTCACAGATAAAGAAACTATGTCAGCATGTCATATCCAAAAAAAAATCATAGTCACGTCAAGATCAGTCTCAATATACATCTCATATCAACATGAACTAAAATCAACAAAAGAAAAAAAATCTAAACATTGAGACAATGGTCAATCCTCATCAATTTCAGTAGTGGGTGCAATATCATTTCTATCAGCATCCTGAGTAGTGTATGCAACCATATCAGCATTAGTATTCGAGTATCCAGCATGTTTGCAAAGTTAGTGCAATTTCCACATAACAATTCCCAAATTTATATTCAGATGCATCTGAAAATAATAATGAGTATATGGAACTGAAATATTTTAACAGTATGCATAATGTCAAAGATGAGCGCACTTAAGCACAGTGATTCGAGCTTAAGCGCGCTGAGGCAGTGAGAAATGGATAAAAATTTATTTAGCGCGCTTAAGCGCGCTAGGGCCGAGAGAAATTTCACTTTTTTGGGGGCTTAAGCCTCCTTTAAGGGCTTAAGCTCTCAATACTTAGAAAATTTTCTCCATATTTTCCTGCATTCATCTCTTGCATTCATCTCTACTGTGTATTCCC